CCTGAGCTCTTTTGCTTAAGGTTATCACTCTACCACTTGAACAACAGAGCCACTTCTGGGTTTTGTTGTTGTTTTTTTTTTTTCTGTGATTAATTGGAGATAAATGTCTTTCCTGCTTCAAACCACAATCCTCAAAGCTCAGTCTCCTGTGTAGCTAGGATTACAGGTATGTGCTACTGGTACCCAGGGAATGTAGTCAATGCTGACATTATTGGTCTACGGTATTATGGAAATGAGTTGCTAGTCACTTTTCCCCTCAACAGTTCTTCCATTTATGCCAGTAGGTTTTATAATTCAGAGTACTCAATGTATTAAATCTGCTTAATATTAGATAATAAAACATGAAACTAGCTAGGTGTTGGTGGCTGTCATCAAAGTTACTCAGGAGGCACAGATCTAAATATTCCAGTTGAAAGCCAGCCTTGTCAGAAAAGTCCATGAGATTCTTATCTCCAAATACTCACCCAAACTCTGGAAGTATAATGTGGGTAGGGATAGAGTTCTAGCTTTGAGTAAAAGAGCCAAGCGAGAGCATGCACGCCTAGATCAAGCCCCAGTACCAGCAAACCCACCCAGCACTACCCCAAATAATATACACATATACACACACATACACACATGTGCACACATACACACATATAATAATAAGAATACAGAAGTATAATAAATAGTGTAGTCTATTTACACTGTTGGATCTGGCTTTATCCTGAAGTAGACAGTATCTAAAAATTAAAATTAATTCAATCAAGAGCTGGAAGAACAATGAGGGAAATTTGCTTTGATATATCTAATCATAAAAGTATTCATTTTTAATATCTTGTCCTCAATATTAAAAGAAAGGAGCAATAAGTATGTCATTCTTACTATGATATTCATAACAGAATAGTTTGAACTAGATGTATATATGAGTGTATGCACAAAAATCAATTACATGCTTCCTATTTTGTTAACTGGGACATGACAGCTTAAAATTCAATCTACATGTCCTTGAGGAGGGAAAATATCAAAAAATATCATTCTAAGAAAATGCTTGAATCAAGCAGATGATTAACCAAAATCTTCACAGTCAAAAGTGTCTACTGTGAGTTTATAATCAAGAATTGCAATATCATAACTTGCATGATAAATGCAAAACATTTCTCTGAGTCTTTAGGATTCCCAGTCTGCCAGGCTATATGCATGAATAGGCAACATTATTTTCTTTTGGCACAATATAAATTTTTCACAAGGTAGAACAAATTTATAATAGAATTAGGAAGCAAAACCAGAATTAATTATGTTCTAGAAGCTATTAAGTCAGAGGATTTCAGGAGGAATTAAGGACATTCGGCATGACACTTGGGATGAAGGTCCATTCATCATATCTGTGTAGGCTCAAGGTCACTGTGATGAGGTGTGCTGCCTGGTCCAAGATGTGTTGTTTTACAAAAGAAACTAGCTTTCTCAACCTGAGATAGTAAAGGGATAAGATTGTAAAAACAAAAGAAAAAAAAAAAGAAAATCCTTGACCCAAACATAACAAGTCTTACTTTAGTATTTCCATGGATGAGCAGTCAATAAAGAGATTTATTGCATGATGGTTCCTGGGATGGGTTAAGGTTAAATCTTGTCTAACAAGACAATTCCTGCCAAACCTCGAGACAATGTTCTTTTGTCCTCCCAAATCCATCTCCTCTAATACCCTGGGAATGCTGATAAAGTGTTAAATCACATTCATCAGAGGAGAAAATCATCTCCATGGGATTCACGGTGTTTTCTGGGACCACTCAGCCTACATGGAAGCAAGAGAAACCTCTGATCTAATGCTTATCATTGCTGTAGTTCCCTTAAACTAAAATAAACCAAGAAGAGCATCACAAGAATTACTGGTTGGTTTCTATTAATTGTATAGGTTCCTGTATGGGTTAACTGTATAGGTTTCTAGTAATTGAATTTCTTCACTTGCCAAATAGCACATTTCTCAAAGGTATGGCAGACCTTTATCCAAAGGGCTATGTACTCGATTGTTTGCCTGAGTTCCAATGATCACACACCAGAAAACTGAGTCCTAGAGCTAGACTATGGCTTTTCTATTTTTTATAAATACTTTGTGTACTCTTCCCCTGATCCTCATACTTTGGATGTACCTGTACACCCCTTGCTGTAACAGTAATTCAGAGCCCAATCACCTCCTAAAATTCCTGATAAGCACCAGCCAGAACTGTTGGAAGCTCTTAGAAGTTTTTATTTTTTTAATTTATTTTTATGTTTTTGGGTCGGTCGTGGGGCTTGAACTCTGGGCTTGGGCGCTGTCCTTGCTCTCTTCAGCTCAAGGTAAGTGCTCTACCGCTTGAGCCACAGCACCACTTCCAGGTTTTCTAGAGGCTTATTGGAGATAAAAGTCTCACGGACTTTCCTTCCCCGGGCTGGTTTTGAACCGTGATCCTCAGATCTCAGCCTCCTGAGTAGCAAGGATTACAGGCACGAGCCACCGGTACCTGGCTAGAAGTTTTAATTTTGTGTTGCTTCTTCACCACTGATTTTCTGGGATAATACACCCTCTGTAATCCAACTCATTTTGCTCCTGCCTCTGCCTCTGCCTCCTAGCATGGGATCACAAGCATGCACCACCAAATCTGGCTCAAGATTTCAGTTTTGACAGTAAAATGGTCCCAGTAAAATTTTTCTATGCATTATGCTGCAGGCATGGGTATTTGTTTTTACTGCTCCCCAAATTCAGTATACAGTAGTCATTCTGAAAATAAATGTATTTTGAACTAGACTTAAATATTGGGAGGTGAACTTTATAATTCTCTCCTGGCAATGTAAGCTTGTTCCAAGTACTAGACTTTTGTGAGTCTCAAGTTTCTCATTTGTAACCAGGAGTAATGGATTATTAGGGGGATCTCCTAATATGATATATACAACCCATACCACACACATACAAATGGATAGTGTGTAGGAGATGGAACCCAGGAAATTATGCTTATTTTAAGCAACTGATGAAACACTTCATTGTGTGCTCTCTTCCCTTTCTTTTTTCCAGAGGTTTCTGCAGTGTTTGAGGCCAGTGCATCCATTACTTACATGTTTCAGGAGCCCTACCCTGTGACCAAGAACATGAGCCTCTCATCTTCGTCTATTTACACAGATGTGACTCCATCCAAGGAGATCATTGCACTCAGCTTTGTGACTGCTCAGGCCCCTAGCCTCTTACTCTTTATCAATTCCTCTTCTCAGGACTTCCTGGCTCTTTATATCTGCAAAAATGGTAAGTACCCTTGTCAGGCAGCCAGGTGGAGTGCCAGCCTGGCATAGAGGAACAGTGGATGCCCTGCAGACCTCTGCATAGTTTTAACCATGAGCAGGTCCCAGCTAGGAAGCTTATTTCCAGACTTTCAACAACACTGTTGATTATACTTTACCTTTATGGGTTGCAATTGATATTCAGGGCTAGTGTCATGTCAATTCGCCAACTAAAGTTTCAAATGCATCAGCTTTAATTTGTGTTAACAGTGTAGCAGTAATTCTTGTTATTTAGTTGGTGCTGTAATCTATTAGGTGTAAAGGAGAATATCATAAGCCTATCTGAATTTTAGAAGGACACTTGCCACATATAATGTGTCATCTATGTTTCAGGCTTCTTTGCTGAGGGTTGTGAAAACACCCAGAAAAAATGCAGGTTGTTTTAAAAGCAGTCAATTGTCACAAAAGTCTAGTCTCTGTGAGTCATCACCGGTGGAACAAGAACCTTGCTTCCGAGAAGAGAATTTCTTTAGGAAGGTTTTAACTTTTTTTAACCTAATGACAGATGGTACAGACTGGTATCAATCTGGGTATCTTCTTTGACAAAGAATATTATTGTTTCATTAATAAAATTCTATTTCCTATTTATAATTATTCAACTAATTATAAAAGACATATTTTTTACAGCGCATTTTCCCTAAAATACATGCATGGACTCAATTATTTTTGAAAGCTATAGTAAATTATTATTTATGTTTCAGGGCTATGATATCCTCTGTGAAATAATGTTTGAAGATACCATTTCACAATTTGCAAGGTGTCAAGCAGACAGACCTTAGGTTCCTATGATTAAATTGTCCATTATTACCTTAAGAGGTCAAAACAAGACCATATGTTGAAAAGAATGAAGACAAAATGGAAGGTACACAGGTTAGAATAATAGAAGGGAAAAACTTATTTCATACAAGAAATATCACTGGTCACCAAATATGATGGCCACCAGGTAAGATAAAGCTTCCTTTCCATATGACTTTATTACATCTTGAAAGGATGAGGGCTCTTAATCTAGCCATGGCCAAGAAAGCTTTGAAATTAAAATTCTTTGGAATGGCATAATAGCATCATGGATGTCTTGTCAACCTAGAGAACTCTGGTCAGTGATGAACATGCCCCCTCCACTGGAATCTGTGTGGATCACAACAGGGTTTTTTTTTTTTTATCAGTTCTGCTAAACTTACATGGCTAAGCACTAACCAAAGAAAGACTAAGAATGCATTGCACATTCAGAGTTCTTTATAGATCTTAGGAGGAGGTTCCACATTATTTTCTTGTTTTACTTTCTCTATTTTTATTTCACTTTGTCCTTCTTTGCTTCATCTTCTTTTGGGAACACTTGGAAAGCAAAGAATAATACACTTTATATTTGAAAGTATGATCGATCTGTGGGTCAAATCAGTGCATCAAGTTCAAACATAATAATGACCCACAAGACATAACAGGTCTCATTCTGAGAGCAGCATGGTGAGAGGAGAAAAATGAGAGAACGGAAAATATAGAGAGATAAAGAAGACCAGAATGAAGAGGTGACTTGTTATTCTAAGCCCACCTGGTTTGGAATACTCCACAAGAGAGAAATGAACTACTTCATGTTGGTAAATCTCCTATTTATTGGAAAATAACCACAAAAATGTTATCAACATATCAGATAATAAAGTTTGTCTCTTGAAATTAACAGGCTGTCTCAGCATATGGAGGTGTGGAGAGGTGGAGTAGATTAATGTAGGCAGCCAGTAGCTAATTTTTGACACCACTGTAATCAGAACTTACATCTCTTGATAAGCAGAGCAGAAATCTCCCTTCTGAAGCAGATTATTCTTTCATGATATGGTTGGATCGTAGTAAGATGGTTTTTAAAATGTTAAAGTATGTGAGTTAAGATATTGGATCCCTGTAAATTCTGTTTTGGATATGCTTTTACCTGCATATTTATGGCAGTTATGCCATGCTTACAGAAATTCAATTGGCACAAATGCAGTCACTGTACACAGTAATAGGGGGATCAAATTACTTTAATGAATTCACACTGCAGTTGATGCCATACCAAGACTGAACCAATGGTCCTGTCATATACCCTACTATTAAAAACTGAGCCACACTGACATTAAATAAGTAGTTTAAACTCTCACAGGAAGTGAACCTGTCACAGTACTGAATCGCCTTTTGCAATCTGATGGCATATTCTGTATTATTACTTTTCTTTTAAAGACAGTCTCATTATGTAGCCAAGACTGGTTTCAAACTTGAAATCCTGTAGCCTCATTCTCCTAATCCTGGGAATACACATGTGCTCCACCAAGTCTAGCACTGTATTACTAGCTGTAGGGGTTAAACTTAATTCTTAAAAATAAAAAAGCATGTAATTTTCAGCAATTGAAATTCTTTTAATAAATTTTTTTTTTTAGCTATGGGGCTAGAACTCGGGGACTGGGCACTGTCCCTGAGCTCTTCTACTGGGGGCTAGCACTCTATCACTTTAAGCCACAAAACCCACCTGGTTTTAAAGTAGTTAATCAGAGATAAGAGTCTCACAGACTTTCCTGCCCAGGGCTGGCTTTGAACCACGTTCCTCAGAGCTAAGCCTCCTGAGTAGTTAGGATGACATGCATGAGCCCCTGAAGCCTGGCTGGGAATGATATTCTTGAATTAAGCTCTGTTCCGATCTTCTTATACAACAGAAGACTTTCCTTAATAGAAGCTGTATCTGATCCTAACCATACATAAGAGTTAACGAGATATTCATATCTTAATTGTTTCTTGTTAAATCTAGGCCTCAGAGAGGGCATTAAAGCCCAATATGGGTAATCTTGTATGTCAGGTTGACTGTCCAAAACAGGTAGTAACCAAACACCCCTCTGCACTTTAGCAGTCCAGAGACCCCTTCTGCCCTGGACCTTGGTGAAGGACTTAGTGGTATAGAATCCTGTACACATTCTATCATTTTCTCATACCTCAGAGACACAACTGAGATCTGCTCATTCACTTTGTGCCATTAGCTCTGGACAGTTACTAGTCTATCTGCACAGTGTGAAAGATTGAAGGAGATGAGCAGGATAAGCAAGATATGGCACTGTCCACAGATGATAAGGAAAAAGAGAGATTCAGACATTACCTTCCGGTTTTTGACAACCTAGATAAAGAGTCTTGCAGTTCCCAGATTTTTAAACCAATCTCATTCAAAGGAAGATTTTTGTCTAACTTTAAGGATAAAACTCATAAGATTGTTATAAAATGGAATAAAATATGTCAGTGGTCATAAGTTCCTTCTTATTAGTGATTCTTAGTTAATAATAAATGAGTAATTTTTTGAAGAAGTCATAGGAACAGATGAGAAAGAAACCTAACCTGTTTACAACCAGGTTGTGATTCTTTAACTCTTGGTGGTCCTGAAATTTGAATTCAGAGACTCACATTTACTTGATTTGTTTGCTCCAGGACCACACTTCATCACTTGGGTCAAAACACCCAGTCTGGGTTTTTGTTGGCTTACTAGAGATGACTCTTGTGGACTTTTATGCAAGGACTGACTTTGAATTACCATCTGACTGGTCTGAATTTACTGATTAGCTAGGATTACAGGCATGAACAACAAGAACCCAGATTTTGTGATTCTTTATTCCCTTCTCATGTAGCCTTACATGATTGCATGTGTATGTCTTTTTGCTAATACCCCATTTGAATAGTTCGAGATATTGCTCTGAGGAATAACAACTGATAGCTCTACAACTTGTTCCCAATTTAATGTTCAATTACCATATATGATTATATGTTGAATGGGACCTGCCATTATCAAGAACAAGGAATATATTTAACATGACTTTGATATACTATAGCAAGAAATATCCTTCTGAATCTACCTCTGGAATTTAGGAAGTCTTAAAGTATAATGAAAATGAAGACAATTATAGGTTAACTGGGAAAGATCTTTATCTGAGAGTGTTTTTATAGTAAGACCGACTCACAACTTTCTGCAGTGGAATTAAGAGTCTGGCGTGAGTACAGACTTCTTGACATTTTTGTGATTTAAAACACTTTTGAGAATCTGGCCAGAGCTATGGAGAGGGTCACCTTAAAAGGAGTCCTATTTGGTCTCTTGAGAAGAAGAAAATGCTCACAACCAGCTTTACCAAATGGATCTAATTCCAGAATTATGGAGGAAGAAGCCAGTGTGGAGAGTTACATTATCAATCATGTAAACACAGAGCCAAATTCTCAACTTGCAAAGCTAAGCAAAGTAGAGAAGAGAATATCAAAATGTGATTCAAAATTCAATACATATTCTCCAAAAATAATAAAATTGAAGAGGGGGTAGTGTGGGGGAGAGATAGGGGAGAATAAGGAAAGGGGTGACATTGATCAAGATATATATCTATAAACTCTTTATCAAATTGCAACTTCTTTGTACAATTGCTGGAAGAAAATAAGATTCTAACTTAAAAAGTAAAAATGAATTTAAAAAAATATGTGGTTCAAGCCAGGTGCCAAGGGCTCATGTCTATAACCCTCAGGAGACTGAAATTTCAGTTTCAAGCCAGCCAAAGAACATCCTGTGAGAATCATATCTCCAATAAACCACCAAAAAACCTGCAAGTGGGGCAGTGGCTCATTGGTAAAGGACTAGCCTTGAACAACAAGGCTCAGAGATAGCACCCAGACCTGAGTTCTAGCCTAAGGACTTGAATGTACAAACTTTACAAAAGGAATACAAAAAATGTGATTCAAAGTCATGTGTACATGTCTTTTCCTGTTAGGATCTTGAGAAGCCTGTTTGGCATCTCTTTTGCCCCTTATTATTATTATTATTGAACATTTCTTTAGCTGTGGGCTTGTTTGGTTTATCTTTTGGCTGCATTTTCAAGTGAGGAATTCTTCCTTAATGCAGGAAGGTGTCTTACCAGTAAGGAGGAGCAGAGGCATGAAGAGAGGCATTTGGAGGTCAGGGAGTCCTTGGGAGACAGGGATTACATA